AAAACCCTAACCCCAACGCTAAGCTTTTAATTATTGGAAAAATAGAACTATAAGAATTCTTTAGTTCTCCCTCTGGCTGGCACCAGCGGCAGTACCCCCCTCCCCTTGTTTTCTTCTCTTTCGGTGTTTCTATTTCTTTACTTTTGTTTTTAGGTAAATCGGATTGACCAAGGAAAGGTATTGACTGTTAATTAGGTTTTGTTCTTTTTAAATTGGATTGTTGAATATTGATATGAGTGTGCTTTTTCTTGAGGCCCCGAGGGTGTGGAATGAAGTGATTATCTGGGGCATCCATCTTAGAAAACTATATTTTATTTGATAAAAGACTTTTTTCTCTGTGCCCACATACAGCACATAATTCCATTAAGAAAAGATGCAACATGACGAGGTCATATGGCAAATAATTCGGCACAACCACTGTAGTTTCATGTCCAAGTAATTAATTTTGATCCATCCCTTCACTACCTTTAGCTAGGTAAATTTTAAGTTAATTAAATTCCTGACTTGAAGCATATAAATTAATTGTTGTTGCAGAATCAATTCTGGGATTTTCTGTAGGAACCCTTATAACATAACTGGGATCTGTAATCGAAGCTCCTGCCCTCTTGCCAACAGTCGCTATGCCACTATCCGTGACCACAATGGTACGCACCCTCTTTTTCTACCCTCACGAATGTATCTTCTTTTCCTACCTACTTTAATTGGAAACAATATTCACAATTGATGGGAATTCCATTCTTCTTTCACATGAAAAATATATTGTTTTGTTTTATGTGGTGTCTAAGCACATGCATGTGTAAGTCTTACATAATTTTGCTGTCGCTAATTTCATAACCCAATCATTTGACAACCATCATTTTCGACGGTTGGATTTGAAAATCAGCTTGTCTTTCATAATTCTGTCTCATAGAGCCCCTTTTTTTTTTGGGGGTTGATTGAGCATTTTATAGATATCACCGTTGACTATGCTTTTTGTGGTAATTTGCATTGCAGGAGTCTTCTATTTGTATATGAAAACAATAGAAAGAGCTCATCAGCCCAAAGTGTTATGGGAAACAGTAAAATTACCAGAGCAGTATGAGAAGGCACTTGAAATCATTGGCAAGCATATGGTACCCTGTTTCTTCTCACATTTTAGTGATATATATATATATATATATATATTAATATCAGGGTCTTCTCTAATTGCATTTAGTTAAGGGCTTTTCTTTTTGTTAATCTGTTGTGTTTTTCTTTTTATTTTGTATCTTGAAGATGTATTGGCCAGAGCTTCTTGTGAATAAAATACAGCAGCGTCTAAAAAAAATGAGTCAAACGCGTACCCGGATGAAGAAGCTTGCTTTAAAAACCAGGTTGCCTATACCTTTCATGAACCAAATTGTTTTCTGCCATCTTATTGTGTCTCTCTTTGGCCACATTGGAGTTTGCCATATATATTGGTTGGCCTTTTATGAAGTTTTGCTCTCCTACAGAGCTACCTTCCCAATTTAAACTTGTTTGTCCACAGGGAGAAAATAATGACTACACCCAGAAAAGAGAAAAAGAGAGAGGCTAGAAGAGAGAAAAAGGCTGAAGAAGCTGCACTTCTGGAAAAGGTTGTAATTTTCTGCTAAAATGCCTATACTGAATCATTTTATCATCTAAATGGTTCTTGACTATCTCTTCTGTAGAGTATTGAGAAAGAATTGCTTACGCGGCTTGGCCAAGGAGATATATATAACTATCCTTTTGAGATATATAAGAAAATTCTTGATGGAGAACAGGCTGATAGTGAAAAGGAATTTGCGGAGGTTTGTTACGACACACATTTGATGCATGTAAGAAGACTACCTTTTAGCTTTTTGATTGCTGAAATTTTTTGTTCAATAAGCAGGAACCTGAAATGGAATATGTAGAGGCCTATGATGAACTTGATGATTTGGATGATATAGAAGATTTTGGTGGCTTTCCAATGGATAGATCTCAAAAGCGCAAGGGTAAGTCTATTTTGCCTTCTGTTTTTCCTTTACTTCTGTGTGTCGAAATGCGTCTACGAAACATAGATATTTTTATTATGCAGTGTCAAGTAGCATTCAGATAGCTAACATTCTTCATTCCCATTGCACACCTATGAATGTGTGGTTTTTTTTTAATTTTTTTTAAATATAAGATGGTTTCCTGTCATTACTAGATACATTCATGATTCCTCTTTGTGAATAGCATATGTACGTATCTGGTATTCAGTCTTGCTCTAATAAGTCATTCTTTTCTATGCAGATAATGTTGCTGCTGCTGATGTTGATAGAGAGGAGGACACGGATGAGGGACGGGGGGTGAGAAAAGGGTCTTCATCTGCCTGTGAAAGGCTTGGGAAAGAAAAATCCAGTATAAAGTTGAAGAAGAGAGCAAGGGTTCTAGTTGAGGTAAAAACCTTTGAACTCTTAAATTCCAACCTTTTTCTTCTTCAATCAAAGTATTACACTCTAATCTTATTAAATTGGTATCCATCTTTTTCACTTTGATATTCCATCTGGTGGGGATTAGTTATGCTTTGTACGTATGGTCCTTTAACCTTAAATGTGGTAACATGCATATTAGATGGAATTATTTCCATTTTCTACTTCCAGTTTTGAAAGTTGGTTAGTAGATAGTTATCCATGTGCTCTGGAAGCATTGTATAGATTTACGGTCTTATCTTCTTAATGTCTGATTTAGTTGGCTTCTCCTAAGAAACGTGAAAGTTGGAGCACAAGCAAATTGACCTTTTGTACTCGGTTTCGTGTCATGTCCTGAAAACTGCGCAAACCAGTTCTGATCTGGACGTTGTTCTGCCTTTAATATAAAATCTATCATGTGCAGTGTTCCGTGAATTCAGCTACATTTAAGCTTCTTTAAATATATATATATATATATAGATATATCTACACATACGTAGATTGTTCTTTTAAATTTTAGTATACTAGAAAAATGATGTTTTCTTCGGAATTTCCTTTGCATTTACAGTGGTGACAGGCATATAATGCACCATAGATGGATGTTGTCTGGGTACTAATTTCAAAGAGCTTGGTTTTTCTCAGGTTGAGCACGAGGATGCGCCTGGAAGACAGAAAGCAACCTTATGAGTGTGTTTTTTTTCTTTTGGTCACCTCTATCAATCTAGAAACAACATGACAACTACTTGTGAAGTCCACTGGATTTTGAGCTTTTATCACCCCCATTCCTGCATTGAGAGAATGTTAGAAAGCCAGAAATTTGAGGTTGGACAGAAGCCCATTTCATAAATACAAAATAATGGCCAATCCCTTTGTATAACAATCCTGATAAAAGTGGAATAACGGTGTGGTTATAATCACACAATATTATGTTAAGTCACTCAGTTTGATTGAAATTTTATTAATTTGAAGTTTTATTTTTTTAAACAGGAAGTTATAATGATTGAAAACATTTGCCTATATATTGATTTTAATTTATGAAGTAATAAATATCAACTATTTTATTAGCTCCTAATTATTTTTGGTTGTCAAGCCAAACAAAGTTAGTATTTTTAAAAACAAAATTGACAAATTAATGTGGTCTTAACAAGACAACCATAAGGTAAAAAAGTGTTGTCTATATTGTGTGGTCATAACCATAACTTATAATAGGAGTTCTATGATTTGTCATTTCAATGTTGAACCATGTACAATTACAGGCATTTACTTGGCCTTTGCGTAATGGAAGCTGTGAGTCAGTAAATTGCTATATACTCTCCATTGCAGCTAATTACACTGACAATGAAGTAATTATACTGATTTTTATGACGTAAGGAACATATGTGTGTATTCCTAAAGAGAGAAGGAACAGATGGATAAGTATGAAAAAGAAAAAGAAAAGGAACAAATGTATTCCTAATAATCTCATAAAGAGAAAATAATCTCTTAAAGGAAAAGCAAAGAGCCTGGAAGAAGGGGTAATCTGAGAGCGAAGGGAGAATGCATAGAGAAAAGGATCTATTTGCTTTATTAATCATTTAGTTGTGTAAAGCAGTCTCTTATATATATAAATGGGGTTGTGGAGAGATCAGAGATTGTAACAAAGTTCATCTGCATTCGTAGTACCAATTACCAAAGGGTAACGAAGGATCATCTATATATACTCCCAATTTCCTTCAATAACCTTGCCTGTGTCTATCAATTCCAGCGGTATGGTCATGTCAGAGTCAGTTCCATACGTGTCATTATTGGAGTCAATGGAATCAGGTTCTGCTGGTTTCCAGACCTCAACTAGTGATGACAACACATTGACTGTATGACCCATGTGTGGCCTCTGGTTGGGGTCTTCTGCAGAGCAATGGCCAGCGAGCTCAGCCACGGTGCTAATACTGGCAAGTGCATCCTCATCAAGCTCAATGGTTGTGTCTATGGCCTGCTGGAATGTATCCTTGTTAATGTGCATCCTACGGAACCATGCTACAATGTATAAGCTATCCTCCGACTGGGTTTCATCAAGTGCCCTTCGGCCAGTGATCAATTCCATGAGGATTACACCAAAGCTAAACACGTCCACCTTCTTGGTCACTCGTCCAGTGACTGTCCACCAAGGTCATGAATAAGTTATCAATTCTAATTCCATGGATCAGCTAAGTAAAGCACCAATTTCATTTTTTACAAATTTTATATATGCTTGCTAAGCAATGATTTCATTCGTAAACAAAAGCTTGTCATTGAATTGACTACATAATATACTAAATTAAATTGATAAATCTAGGGTTATAAATGAAGACAGATTCAATCACAATCCCACTATTGTTGCTCAAACTAATTTGTCAAGAACCACATCATATGTACTATAAATCCCATTGACGGGTGAATTTAGAATAGGGAAAGGCAATCAGTTTAAGATTATAGGTCCAGGGTTATTTAATAAGATTCATTTTTCCATTTGTCTCTTGTTTAACGTTGTACTGAATGAATGAATGAAAGAAAGAAAGAAGGGCCTTTAAGCAAAGTGGAGAAAAGACAGGAATTCCTGATGGGAATTGAGGTGAAGCATGAAAAGAATAGAAATCTAAAAGTTAGACGTTACCTCCATATTCTGGAGCTAAATACCCAAAAGTACCCGCTATCCTTGTATGAACTGAATATTTTCCATCTGGAACTAGACGAACCAAGCCAAAATCTGCTATTTTGGCATGCATATCATCTCCAAGAAGAATATTGGCCGGCTTGAGATCCCGATGAATGAAGCTCTGACGTGCAAGACCGTGAAGGTATTCAAGCCCTCTAGCCACATCCAAGGCAATTGTAAGTCGTCTAGTCCACTCAAGTGGTTTCAAACCTTGCTCCTTCCAGTTGAATAGATGCCTACTGAGGGTGCCTTGGGGCATGTACTCATACACAAGAAGCCTCTCATTTTCATCCAGACAATATCCAAGAAGTGCGGTTAAATTGCGGTGACGAACCTTCGTAAGAACTGCAATCTCAGACTTAAACTCTGCCAAAGCCTTCTCATTCATAATACTTGACTTCATTCTTTTCACGGCAATCTTTGTCCCATTGTTCAATTCTCCTTTATAGACTGTACCAAAACCACCTCTTCCCAAAATATTTTGCTCGCTGAAGTTATTGGTGACAGTCCTCAAAACTTGAGTCGATATGACCTTAACCACTTCTTGATCACCAGAATGACGGGGATGTGTCACCACTGCATTAGGGCTTTGTACCGTACTTGAATGCTTTTGTTTTCTAGCATACAAACAGATGACCATTCCAATAGCACCCAATCCACTAAGAGCACCTACCACAGAACCCGCGACCTTCGCTGTTTGTGATTTCTTTTGGCTACTAGCAGGACTACCTCCACCACTACCATCAGGTGTGGCAGGAGAAGCAGGAGGTGGGGGAGTATCTTTTCCCATGTTCGGGTTCCCAGCGGTTATGACATCCACATTTTGCTTGAATGTTGGTACTTTACCATAAAGATTGTTTTTTGAAACATCAAGCCTACTGAGACTAGCCAGGTTTGTGAGCTCAGATGGTATTGTGCCAGTGAGACCATTATTGGACAAATCCAAAGTTGTCAATTGAGTGAGCATTGAGAAATTAGAAGAAATCGTACCGGAGAGCCCCAAGTTCTTAAAATTAACTGCCGTTATGTTTCCATTAGAATTGCACGTGATCCCTCTCCATGAATTACAGGGATCATTCCCTATCCAACTTTCAGCTAAAATAACAGGGTAACTCATTGCTTCCACAATAGATAACAATATATTAACACGGTTATCGCAAGCAACACCAGGATCACTCAAGCAGAATCTATTAGTACCCGTATCTACCCGAGCAGTAGCAAACTTAGGGGTAGGGCCTTGAAGCAAATTATTTGTCAAATTGATAACATAAAGGGACTGTAAATCAACTAAAGACATAGGAACGACACCAGTAAACTGGTTATAGCTCAAACTCAAATATGCCAACTGGACTAACTGCGAAAAATCTGGCAAGGGACCGGTAAAATGGTTTCCATTCAACGCTACCTCAGTCAAAGAAGTCATGTTCTGCAAGACTTGAATTGAACCGCTAAGGTTCACCTCCTTTAGAAACAAAGACTGAATCATGGAACCGGAAAACGAAGCAGGCAGTTCTCCCTCAAGCTGGTTGAAGGACAAATAAAATTGACTCAGGTTAGAAAAAGTACCGGAGCCAAAGATGTCCGGGATCGTCCCAGTGAGATTAGCACTGACAGCGGAAAAACTCTGCAAGGCGGTGGCCTCTTTGAGACTGGCCGGAATCTCCCAAGGCGCAAAGGGGTTGTAATCAAGATACACAGTCTGCAAAGAAGTCAATCCCGTGAAGAAATCAGCAGGGAATGAAGTGAAATTGTTCTTGAAAAAATTGGCTCCCTGCAATGAGCTCAAACCCGCGAGACTCGGGATGGCTCCGGTGAGCTGATTGCACCTGACGTCGAAAATTGTCAAAGCAGAGAGGTTCCTGAGATCAGGAGGCAGAGTGCCTGTGACGTTCTTGCCGAGTATTTGGATCCAGGTGACCCGATTACTGCTGGAAGAACACTGAACCCCTGCCCAATTACAAGGGTTGGAGTCAGACCAGTCAAGTGAAAGTGGAATTTTGAGGCTGGCCTTGAGTGCCTGCATGGCTGCCGCATCGGGGGTGGACTGAGAGTGGACATGGAAAGCGAAAGAGAGAAGAAAAATGAGGAAAAGAATAGAACCCAAATACGGTTTCTTCATGCTTCTTGATCAGAAACGGGGAATTGAGAGGAAAGCTGCGATCTTTGGTGCTTTTTTGAGTAGGGTCTATGAAGGGAATGATGAAAAGAGAAAGGTGGAATGAAGATTGAGGGGATTATATGGCGGGGATGGAGGAAATTTCTGACATGGAGTATTTGTATCCGGGTCACCCGTTCCAATTACAAGGGTTAAAGTAAGGCCGGTTGAGAGAAGGTGAAATTTTGAGGCGACTTGAACGTCTACATGCCGGGGTGGACTAAGAGTGCACATGGAGAGTGTAGGAGACCACATGGAGGAGATGAAACAGAGCGTGTTTGGCAAAGTCTCAACGGTAAACTAGGTGACTCGTGCTGCACGAGAATGACTTTTTGTATATATATGT